GTCGGAGGGAAGGGGAGGGATCCTCCTCCTCCTCCTCCTCCTCCTCCTCCTCCTCCGCCTCTCCTCCGCCTCCGCCTCCGCCTCCTCCTCCCGGGAGGAGTCGGAGGGAAGGGGAGGAATCAGGGGCAACGAGTGGAGGGGATAGGAACAGGGGGGGATGCATCGACCCCCAATCGCCCATCGATCGCCGATAGGGGGCCTGATAGCCCCACCCCGCCCAGGGAGGTGCGGACTCACGATCGGGGGCCTATCGCCGATCTATCGGCGTTGCGTCGCCGATTCCAGGTCGATGCATCCCCCCCTGTGCCAGCCCCGCCCCGTCGTTGCCCCTCGGGAGGAAGAGGCGGAGATCGGGTGCGGCAAAGGGGGGGGGGCGATGACTAGGGGGGCGTGGACATCATGGCGTGGGCCGTGATGTTTCCTCAGATTTCCTGGCGCCTCGTCTCATTTCAGTACGTCCCTGGCCCCCCCCCCCTGGGCTGCGCACGTGCCGCCTGCCATGAGTTGCCTCCCCCCCCCCTTCTTGGACGCCTCCCTCCTGGCCGCCCCCGAGGGAGAGAGCAGGAGCAGACGTGACGCGGGGACACGGCGGGTGGGGAGGACGAGGATGACCCCTCCTCCTCCTCCTCCTCCTCCTCCTCCTCCTCCTCCTCCTCCTCCTCCTCCTCCTCCTCCTCCTCCCCCTCCTCCTCTCCTCCTCCTCCTCCTCCTCCTCCCCTCCTCCTCCTCCTCCTCCTCCCCTCCTCCCTCCTCCTCCTCCTCCTCCTCCTCCTCCTCCTCCTCCTCCTCCTCCTCCTCCTCCTCCTCGGGAAAGATAGCCACGGGCGATCAGGAGGGGGGCATCGGGAGGACGGCGCCCGCCGTTCTCGCTCCGCTTTCGGGGGCCACTCCCTGCAGCCGAGCAACGCGCCGATAGGGCCACGGCAGTGAGCGTCGCGCGGGAGCACTGGTGCTCAAGTGGCCAGCCATCCATGTCGTTCTTATTGTCAAGGTGTACCGTGTGTGCTTGCCTATTTCAGGTCGGTGCGCGTGGCGTTCCTGGTTTTCATGGCGATATGTTGTTTCATTATGTCGGCTCGCCCAATAGCATCTCACTGTGATGTCCGCCCGTTGACAGAAACAGGAAGATGATCCGTGCCTTGAAACAGAACTGATGGAGAGAAGGAGGGGTGGAAGGGAGAGGGCGGGTGACGAGGAGTGCGGACCAAGCATGCGAAAGGGTGGAGGAGGAGGGTGGTGAAGGAGGAGGGCGCTGCGCGGCTGTCCTCTCATGCTCGCTCCTCGCCTCCCCTCTCCCCCTCCCGTCTCGCCTCCCCTCCTCCAAGTTCCTCGCTCTTCTCTCCCCATTTTTTTCATCACTTCTCGTGCACCTTCTCTCCTCTCCTCCTCTTCTCCTCGGTATCCCTCCTCCTCTCCCCCGTCCCCCTACCACGGGCTCACACTGACCCGCCCGCCCAGCCGCACACGCCTGCCCGGCCACCCTCGGCCAGAGCCCGTCGGCCAGCCGGGCAGCAAGCCAGCCACGCAGACGCCCGCCTGCCAGTCAGCTGGCCAGTCAGCTGGCCAGTCGCTCAGTCGTTCGCTTGGTCGCTCACCCCCTTCCGCTCCCTCCGCTCACCCCGTCATGCCCTTCGCTCCTCACACTCCCCTCTACCCGGTCGCTCCTGCCTTCTCTTCCTTCCCCCTTTCCTCCACTCCGCACCGCCCTGGGCCCGCTCAGGATCTTCTGTCTCTTGCCTCCCTCCTCGTCCTCCCCCGTCCGTCTCCGCCCTCCCCCCTGCTCTTCTTCCGCCCCGTCCGTATCCGTCCCCGTCCACATCCGCATCCCTCGTCCCCAGACATGGGGCGTCTCGAAACAATCGAGACGGAGGTCTTTCGTCGTTTTCCGCCTCTCGGGGCCCTCGCTGGGCCTCGGGACCGTCAAACAACTGTTAATGTTTTGGGGCATCCTTGATCATTTGGCGAGAAAAGCCACGCACGAAAAACCGAACAAAGCACAGGGAATGGACGTCCGAGCCATGGCGAGGTTCCTGCCCCCCCCTTGGCCCAGGGCGCCCACGGCCACGGACCCGCGGCGGGCAAGGGTGGCACCGGATCGCTCGATCTCGGCGGCCCAGCGAGCGCGGCTGCTGCGCCTGCGGTGCGGGGGGTCGGGGGGCCAGGGGAAGGCTGCGAGGATCGGCAAGCAGTGCTGCCCTCGGGCAGCTCAGGAGAGGTCTGGCGCCCAGCTCTCGTGCGGGAGCTCTCCTCGATGCCGCTGCGCCTGCGCCGGGAGAGTCCAGTTGCAGCCAACGGTCAGGCGCCAGGCGGAGCGTATATATTCATTTGATCCGCCATGTCGCTTCTGGAGTGCAGCCGTGCGAGCAGCGCGTGGAGGCCTTTTGCGGACATGGTCCGTGAGCGCGAGCGAGAGGCAGTGAATTTTGCCTCTCTCTTTCTCGCCGTCAGTGGCTGTCTCGCGGTGGCGCAAGCTCGCGCTCCTGCAGCCCCTCTCTGTGGCCGTGGCGTGCGCAGTCCTGTGCTCCTGCAGCGCACCCGCTGTGAACTGGCCACGCGGTCGCTCGCCGCTGGAACTCGTCATGCGGTGTCCTGTCACATCGTGTGGTCTTCTCGTTTCCCTCGTTTCCTCGTTCCTCCTCCTCCCCTCCTGCCTCCTGTCTCTCCCTCTCTTTCTCTTTTTTTTTTTTTTTTTTTTTTTTTTTTTTTCTCTCTCTCTCTCTCTATGTCTCGCTCTGTCTCTCTCTCTCTCTCTCTCTCCCTCTCCTGCATCCTACCTCTTGCCCTCGTCGTTTTCCTCCCGTCCTCCCTCGCTTCGCTGGCCTTCACCCCCGAAGCCCCTGCCACCGGCACAGGAGCGAGGCTTCGCGGAGGCCGCCGAGGCCCTCTTGAAGGCGGGCGTCAACGTGGACGTGCGTACTGGAGAGGAGCGCCGGTCGGCAGGGGGGAAGGGGAGGGGGGGACGAGGACGAGCCTCGTCGTCCTCCTCCTCCTCCTCCTCCTCCTCCTCCTCCTCCTCCTCCTCCTCCTCTTCCTCCTCCTGCTCCTCCCCTCTGTTCCGCAGCAGTGGGGGCTGGGCACGGGGAGCAAAGAGGAGGGGGAGGTAGAATTGAGGACGGAGGACGAAGGCGGAAGAGGAAGAGCAGGATTGTCGAGGATGAGGAGTAGGATGGGAAGGGAGGACAGCTAACGTTAATGGGGAGGCGGAGGCGAAGGAGGATAAGGAGGAGGAACCTGTGGACGATGATGGGGGGCGTATGACGACGAAATCGACGACGAGGCTGGCAAGTAGGACTCCGACGACGTCGGGGATAATCAAAATTATCAAGAAGGTATCAGAGTAGCACTGGAGGGGAGGGCGAAATTGCAGTACGAGGAGGTGGAGGAGGATGGGAATGACGAGACGTGGACGAGGAGGGCGAACATGATAATGAAGAAGTGACGACGAACGACAGGGTGGCGCGTCCAAGTTGCCCGCGCCCTACTAGAGGAATGCTATTCTAAACGCTTCGCGTAATCCCAGCAACCCCTGGTCCACCTCTCGGGTCGTCTGCCTACTTCACGGTGTACTACTTCACGGAGTTCCTCTTCTGCCACCTGGTCGCCTTCTCGCGCCATTTTGGTTGCGCCTACCACTGGTACGCGGTGTGCTTCCCACGCCCCTTCTTCCGTTCCCGTCTTCTGCGTCTTCCCCGCGTATTTGTTATTGTATTTCCGGGTCTCCGTGCTCGCCGTGCCCGCGCGGTCTTCGTTTTCGGCACGCTCTCCTGCCCGCTCGCTTGGTCGGTGCCGCGGCCAGCGCGCCGTTGCCTGCGCTGCTTTTCACTTTGCTACCGGCGCGGCCCGCCGTAGCGCGCTCGGCGTTCGACTTGTTTCGCGCGCCCGCTAGCCAACAAGTATCCCCAGCAACCCATCCCAGGCGAATTGCCTTGATCAGGGACGCGGAGGAACATGCAGTGGAATAGCGGGCTGGGGAAGCCGTCGCACCCCAGGAGGAGGAGGAGGAGGAGGAGGAGGAGGAGGAGGAGGAGGAGGAGGAGGAGGAGGAGGAGGAGGAGGAGAGGAGGAGGGAGGGAGTGGAGGTGGAGGGGGAGGGGGAGGGGGAGGGGGAGGGGGAGGGGGAGGAGGAAGGAAGAGGAGAGGAGGACGAGGACGACGACGACGACGAGGACGACAGGACGAGGACGATGAGGAGACGAGGAGGAGGAAGAGGAGGGGGAGGAGGAAAGGGAGGAGGAGAAGGAGGGAGGAGGAGGAGAAGGTAGGGGAGGAGGAGGAGGAGGAGGAGGAGGAGGAGGAGGAGGAGGAGGGAGGAGGAGGACGGAGGAGGAGGAGGAGGAGGAGGAGGAGGAGGAGGAGGAGGAGGAGGAGGAAGGAGGAGGAGGAGGAGGAGGAGGCGGAGGAGGAGGAGGAGGGAGGAGGAGGAGGAGGGAGGAGGAGGAGGAGGAGGAGGAGGAGGAGGAGGAGGAGGAGGAGGAGGAGGAGGAGGAGGAGGAGGAGGAGGAGGAGGAGGAGGAGGAGGAGGAGGAGGAGGAGGAGGAGGAGGAGAGGAGGAGGGGAGGAGGGGAGGGGGGAGGAGGAGGAGGAGGAGGAGATGAGGAGGAGGAGGAGGAGGTGGAGGAGGAGGAGGAGGAGGAGGAGGAGGAGGAGGAGGGTCCGTAGCCATGTTGGCTCAAGCCATTTTGGCTCAAGTAAACCGTTTCTCGAGGTGGCTTAAAGTGAGCTAGCGATTGTGCGATCCACTGCTTGTGCTTGCCCAAGCCTTGCAGTCTCTTTTCGTATCCAGAGTCACATTCATGGGCGAGCGCGTTGCCGGTGCTCGCAATGAGGTGTGGTGCTGTCCCAAGAAGAAGTGCGGTTTCAAAACGAATCTCTCGTGGAAGCAGTTTTGCTACAAGTGTGGTGCTGCACGCCCTGCTGCGCCTGCTCCAGTGCAGCAACAACGTGGGCCGCTGGGTGCCTGGGCTGATGGGCCGCCTCGTTCAGCCGCCGCTCGGCCCAAGCACAAGCTATTTGAGCCCGCGCAGCTTGACAAGATTGTGCGCGTGTCCAACGAAGATTTCGAGGTGTGCAAGGAGCTCCTCTCGCCCTCCCAGCGTGCTCGTGTCGTGGCGCAGCGCGCCCTGGCTGCTGGTGACCCTCGTGCTGTTCAGCGGCATGCGCAGGCTCTGCTGGACGATCTCAAGAAGCAGATCGCCCACGTCTCCAAACAGATCGAGAAGGTCGAGCCCGTCGTGCAGAGCAAGGTCCTGGAGCTCGTCAAGCTCAAGGACAACCTCGCGTCGCTCGAAGGTCAGGAGCGAGTCGCCTCCGCCAAGGCCTCAGCGGCTTGGGCGCAATGCGCTGCTGGGGGTGCTGGAGCGGTCGACGCCACTGGAACCGCGCTGTCGGCCGACGACCCCGCGTTCGCCCTGCTCATGCAGTTCCAGTCCTTGGATGCGGGCTTGGCTCGCTCGCTACGGTCATTGTTGGAGACGCGTGACACGCTTCTGGTTCCTGCTCACCCTGATGATGACGCTGCCACCGACGACGGCTACGAGTCTGACGATCTGGACGACCTCAGTGGCGACGGCAACGCCATGGAGGACGCCCCGCCTGGAGAAGCACGTGCTGAACCCGCTCCAGCCGACGCTCGTGATGTGGAGGCTGCCGCGCTGGCAGTCTTCGGCCGACCTCCGCCTGAGTCCCCGTTTGCGCCAGGTGCCGCGCCTGCCGCGCCGCTCTGTGGAGGGGGGACGGGCTCGGACGTGGGGCGGGGGCGGGATGGGTCGGGGGCTGCTGCAGCCAGTGCTGGCCCGCCGCCAGCCGCTCGTGTGCTCTCAGGTTTCCTGAATAAGCTTTCCACGGAGCAAGGGTTTAATGCCTTCCTTGCCCAGCATAAGATTCCGCTCAAGCATGCGGAGAACATTCTTGGAGGCATCAATGCTGCAACGCAGAAGAAGTTTCGGCTCACTCCCTTCAGTGGGGGGGAGCAAGTGCCCAGCAGGTCCCCGCCCAGATCCTAGCGCTGGTCAGGCCAAGGAATGGACCATGCTCACCGCCAATGTTGGGGGCCAGCTTGGGCTCGACGCGTACTTGTGTGAGTGCATTGCAGGTGGCGTTCTCCTAGTGCAGGAGACCAGGATCCCAGTCTCGTCGGTGGAGCCGACTGAGGCGCGCCTCCGCCAGATCGGCTGGTCAGCCTCTCTCACGGCTGCGCTGCCCACGCCTGGCAATCCCACTGGCGGTCTGATTACGGCCACGCCCAGGAGGATTGGTCTAGGTGTGCTCGAGAGTATTCCGCCTGCGCTGCAGCCTGCGCGTGCCAGCATTCACCATGTGGGAGGGATGATTCGAGGAGGTTTCCTGGTTGTGAATCTCTATCTGGTGCACTCCGTCGGGGTGAATGGGGTTAACTGGAACATCCTGTGCCGCGTTGGCAGGCCCCTCAAGGCTGCTGGCATGGCGTTCGTGATCGGTGGGGATTGGAATATACATCACGCTGATATGCAGCAGACTGGGTGGGTCGATGCCATGGACGCTGTCATCGTCGCCCCTGATGGCGGCACGCGCCGCCCAGCCATGAGGTGCATCGACTTTTTCGTCGTCTCGAGGGCCATTGCAGGTGCGGCCAGGGCCGAAATAGTTCAATATGTCCCCATTGCCCACCACTACCCTGTCAGGCTCGTCTTCCCACGCGTCGAGCCCGTTGCTGAGGTCAAGTTTGTTAAGTTGCCCAAGCGGTTCCCTCTGGAGCGCCCCATTGGGTGTCTGGGCCCCCCCGTCGAGGGTAGGTGGGAGCCCGTGGCCGCGGCGTGTTCTGATCCTAACGTCTCTGCGCAGGACAAATGGAGCAGCTTCCTTCGGGCGGCGGAGGACGAGTGGCTTTATGTCTTTCAGATTTCGGGAGAGCTGGCTGACGGGTACGCTGGTCGTGGCCTCCCTCTGAAGATCTCCTCTAAGAAGCCATCTTGCCCTGGGCCTCCGAGATTTCCCTAGCTCTCCCCGTTGGCGTGTTGGCGGCGCAAGGTCAGTGTCCTTCTGTCTGACCTTGCCCGGGATCCTGTGGGCACTCACAGGCGGCAGCTCGTTTCGGCTGCCCATCGGCTTCCAGGTTTTCACCGCCTCCCTGGCAGTGCCATGCACGCCGCCTGGGCGGCCGCGTTGCGCCAGGCTGATATGCTGCCGCTGCTCTCGGCCAAGGCGCTGGCAGAGCTGGCGGACGTCGAAGCAAAGAGGCTTCAGGCTCAGTCGGCGCACGACAAGGACAGGGAGTGGAGCAAATGGGTTGACAAGCATTCCTCGGGGGGGATGTCGGCCCTGTTCAAGTTCTCCCCCCTTCCCATCGGCTGGCAACCCGATGCCCTCGATCATTCCACTCTCCGCCCCTGTTCGTCGGTCGAGTCGGTCGAGGCCCTCGAGGCTGAGTGGAAAAAGTGGTGGTCCGTGGGGCAGGCGAACCCCCCCCTCGAGTGGCCTGATCTTGGAGCGCCGCCAGAAAGACCCAGTGTTGGCGAGCTCGCGTGGGCTCTTAAAAGCTTTAAGTCTTCTGCTGGCACCTGTTTCGATCAAGTGTCGCCCCGCTCCCTGCTGCTGTTGCCGCACACCGCGCTGGAAGCTTTGTGCGAGATCATCTCTCACATTGAGCACAAGCGTTAGTGGCCTGTCATGTGGAACCGCATTGTGTTTATCCTCAAGCGGGTGGGGGGACTCAGGCCTCTGGGGCTGCTCCACGTGTTGGCTGGTGTTCAACGTCGCCTGAGACGTCCTCTCATCAGGCAGTGGCAAGAGAAAAACTACCGTGATTTCTTTTGGGGCACCCGTGGGAAGTCCTCGGAGCGTTGTTTGTGGATTCAGGCGGCGTGGTCCGAACACTCGACGTTCAAAAACCGTTGTTGTGCGACGTTGCTTTTGGATTTAAAGAAGGCGTTCGAGCTGGTGCAGCACCGTCATCTTATCTCGGCCGCGCAGGCCACCGGTTTTCCCATGTGGCAATTGTACCTTCTGGTGCAGATCTATCGTGCCCCGAGGCTGCTCGATGTGGCTGGCGAGGTTGGTTCGCTGCTTGAGGTTGAGCAAACCGTTGTGCCAGGCTGTACAGTTGCCACTTGTATGCTTCAATTGGTGCTGCTAGGTCCCCTCGACGCCGTCCAGGCGTCTTTCCCGACGGTCCAGCTATCGGTCAATGTTGACGACTTTGGCCTCATGAGGTGGGGCGCGGAGTCGAGAGTTGCACATGACATCGCCGGGGCTGGCAAGAAGCTCCACAGTGAGCTCAAGGCCGCCGACCTTAGGATCGCCGTCGACAAGTCCCGAGTGCTTGGGAACTCGCCTGTGGTTAGAGCCTCGATTGCTTCGAAGCTCCGTAGCCTTCAACCCCTGCCCGTGAGGGCTGAGAGAAACCTTGGTGTCAATTTTTCGTCTGGGCTCGCTGGAGGGGGCAAGGCCACGTCCACCTCCCGCGCCAAGGCCATGTGCAAAAGACGGCAGCGAATGTTTATTCTCAGGGGCTCCAAGCCTCGTCGCCGCGTGCTTGGGCGCATGGCTCGAAGTGCTCTGGAGTCGTCCGTGCTGCATGGCGCTGCCGTAGTCGGCATCAACGGGCAGGAGTTGGAGGTGCTTAGAGGTGCTGCTGGTAGGCTTCAAGACCATCGCATGGATGGCACATCCCGCACCCTGGCCCTGTTGCTGGCCCCTGTGCCCCGTTTGGACCCCATTTTCAGAGCCACGCGGTTGCCCGTGAAGGCCTACCTCTTTGCTCTGTGGCACTCCTGGCTTCCTAGGGGCGCCCTGGACTTTGGCCTCAGTGGGGCCCATGAGAGATTGGTGCATCTGGAGCACCCGTGGTCTTCCATTCGGGGGCCCTTCAGTGCTTTGTGGGCCACCCTCAAACGTGTGGGGATCACGGCTACTTCGGCTACCTCCTGGACTTGGCCCGATGGGGCTGTCATCAATCCCTCGGACTTCTGCCCCGTCACCGTCCAGGAGCTCGTGTACCGTGCCGTTGAGTGTTGGCAGCTCGCCAAGGTTGCCGACCACTTGGACCTTCCCGAGTTTGGCAACGGCGTCATCCTTAGCCCCCTGAAGGCCCTCCTCAGCACCAAGAGTAAGCTCGCGGCCCAGCAGAGGGGCCATCTGCGTAGAACTGCGGTTGGGGGGCAGTGGCCCCAGAAGCGTCAGTGGGCCGAAGGGTATGACACCACGCCTGCCTGCCTGCTCTGCCCGCAGGCCGAAGGCACGCTGCTGCACAGGCACTGCTCTTGTGTGCGCCTCGACAGCCTCGAGGGCGCCCCAGCGTTTCGTGCCAATGTTGCGCGGGCAGCGCGCTCGCCGCTGGCCCTCGCCTTTGCTGAACGCTGCCTGGTCACTTTTCCCGCAATTGCGAGGCCGCCACCTGGGCAACCAGTGTGCTGGGGGCTGGGAGGACCTGACAGTTTCACGGGCGACATTTACCCTGACGGGTCCGTATTTGAAGCGGAGCATCCCAGCCTCGCGAGTGCGGGCTGGGGGTGCGTGGCGCTTCATCCCGATCGCCTGCAGGTTGTCTCTTTTTGCTCTGGCCCTGTGCTCGACCCGTTGCAGTGTATCAATGCTGCTGAACTCATCGCTGTCACCCATGTGCTGCGCGTTGCAGCGCCGCCAGTGCGCTTGTTCTCGGACTCTGCTTTTGTGGTGGATGGCTTCCATGAGCGTGGGCGTGTGGCCACCACCGCCTGCATCGCTGCGCATGCTCACCTCTGGGGGAATTTTGGCGGTTGGTGGATGACTGGGGGGGACGGGTTTGAGCTCTCGAAGGTCAAAGGCCATGCGGCCGCAAGTGATATCCAGCATGGGCGCGCCACAGAGCGCCACAGGTTTGGCAATATGATGGCCGACCGTGCTGCTAAGAGTGCCGCTGCGTATGCGAGGGCGCCGTGTCAAGACCGCGCGCAACTGCAGGCCCGCTCCAAGGTGGTCAAGACCTGGGGAGGCTGGATCGGCCGACTCAGCGAGGGGCTCGAAGATTGTGGCCACCCCAGGCTGCATAAGCGGGGCAAGCCGCGTCTTCATAGGCTTTTTTGTTGTGCGGGAGCCCGCCCCATCCGACGTGGCCTCTCGCGCGCTGGCGGCGCAGGGTAAGCTAGCGGATGGAGCGCGCAAGCATGAACTTATACGGGTTGCCCTTTGCGAAGGTCCCACGATCGTGGGCTGCGCGCGCTGTGGCAACTTCGCAGCTGTGCGCGTCGCAGCTCTCAGCCAGCCCTGCCCGCCTGTGGCCGCCGATCATGCCTTGAAGGTGCTCAAGCGGCTCGGCAAAGGCGAGTTTCGCCTTGGTGCGAAAGTGTTTCGGGTCGCAGCGCAGGCGCCGCTGGTAGAGGCCGCCGTCGCCGACTCTTTCCCCGCCTCCCAGCTGGTGGCTGCAGATGACAGTTCGGAGGCACCACAGCGATCTGCTGGCGATGCCGATGCTCTTGTGGAGGATGGAGGTGTCGCCCTGTCGACTTCGTCGAGCGGGGGCGGTGGAGTGCGTTCGAGAGATGCTGCGCCTGCGCGCAAGCCGCGCGCGCAGCGCACGGAGGCGGAGCGCGCCGCCATTGTCCAGCGGCTGCTGGCTGCAGCTAGTGGCCGCCCTCCTCCCCACGTTTTGCACGATGCTCTCGATTATTTTGGTTCAGAACAGCCCGACCCCACCGTGGGGTCGGGTGTCGGGGGGCACGCCGTTGGCCATAGGGGATCCTCCCAGTAAGGGAGATCGCCCCGTGGCCTTCGGCCTGCCCTCCCCTTCCTCCCTTTTCTTTCACGTTTTACGGGCTGCTGCTGTGCCCAAATCTTCTTCTGGCCTTGCGCAGCCCTGTCCGTGCGCGTTGGCGGTCTGGCCGCGCGCAGTTCGCGCTGCCTGGAGGCCCTGGCAGCTGCGTGGCCCACAGCGGGCCCTGTCCGATGTGCGTGGCTGAGGGCGGTTGTAAGGTGCGCCCTCAGCCACGCCGACCGACGGCTGAGGCGTCATAGACTCTGTGGCGCCTCAGGTTGTGCGCAGGAGGAGGAGGAGGAGAAGGGGGAGGGTGAGGGGGAAAAAGAGGGAAGAGGCGCATAATGATAAGGAGGAGGAGGGTGAGCACAATGGCCAGAGGCCTCTTGGATGCCCCTGGGGGTCCCTTCGGGTGCCTCTTGACAGCCTCTAGGAGTCCTCTTGGGGTGTCTTTGGGGCCCCTTGGCGGTCCTGGGGGCTTTTTAGAACGTCTTGGATGCTTCGGCAGAGCCTCTTGGGGCGTCTATGGGGGTCTCTTGGGAACCGCTTGTGGACCTCTCGGGGGTCGCTTGGCGCCTCTTGGTGCCCTCTGGGTGAACTCTTGGGGGCCTGGGGGGGGGGCCTCTTGGGGCCAGTTCGAAGGAGACCAATCAAAAGAAGGGGGGGTCTTAATTCAGCACGCCCCAGGAGGCCAAACTGAGCCCGACACTAAATCACATCAAAGCGTTGCGCCTTCTAGCCGATGCCTTCTTGGACGCCGCAGTCGGTCCCACCCCCTCCCTGTCCAGGTCCAGTGGGGGCAGGGGGAGGGGGCAAGACCCCCCCCCACCCGTAAGCTGTCCTCCTCGCTCCCACCCGCTTTCCCGACATATAAGCCGCTCCTGCGCGTCAGCGTGTTCAGCGGCCGTCTATGGATGGACAGCTGCTGGAAACCAAAGCAGGCCCCATGTGCGCGACGCTGGGGCGAGGTGCGCCACGCGTGCCAAACCCGCCACGCGCGCCATGTGCGCCAGGCACCCGTGAGGTCAACGCGTGCCAGGCACGCCTGGCACGTCAGATGCGACACGTGATCCATGTGTGCCACGTGCGCCGCATGGTTCAGCCGCGCTAGGTGCGCCACGTCCGGGGCACGCGCAGAGTGTGCCAGGTGCGCCC